ATATATATATATATATGCCAGCTGCCCTAAGAAGCAAAAATGCTATTAAAAAGATGGAAACACATGTGATTCTATGCTACTATATTCCGAGTCATAGAAAAAAACAGATTTTTTCCAGGAGAAAAACTTAACTCCAGTCTTCAAAGCAGGACAACACTATTTCCAATCTAATTAATTAACTAGGTATCTGACAGCCTGAAAGGCAGACCAAACATCCTAGCAATGCAACACTGACCATTTTTTGTCCTGTGAGCATGTGATGCCTGAAGTACAGTTCTCTTGGATACTTATTTTTAGTTTCCTTTCATTGGGATCACTTTAACAGTGTTTCTTGATCTACAAGACTAACATAATTGCTTAGATTCCAATAATGGCTGGTAAAGAGAGGAAGTTACTTACAAATATCAAGCCGGATATCAAAGAGGAAGTCCCCGTAAGTGCAACATAGAATTTTGGCGTTAATGTGCTCAAGAAGACAGTCACTGTCAATTAAAAAAAAGTAGCTTTGTCAATCACTGTATCTGCCTCTGCAACGCTAACTTTGGTTGTTCTTGCCAGCAGCTCTGGAGCAACATGGGTACCTTGACACTGGACTGGCAGCACCTTGTAAGAGAACTTGCCCCAGTTGTAAATGGGGATCGAACCTGCAGAAACTCAGCATTGAACATTACAAGGATCTCTAGACCAGGGGTGTCAAACTCATTTGTTATGAGGGCCGGATCTGACATAAATGAGGCCTTGTTGGGCCAGGCATGTGTCTCATAAATTGTAATGCCAGGTAGCGGAGATATAAACTTTATAAAGGACACCGAGAATTAAATATTTTTTTTAACTTTAAATAAAACATGTCTCCTGTATACAATTGAGGCAGCCTGGCCAGGAAGCGAGCTCTGACTGATTCCCTCCCTCCCCCTGGGAGGAGGAGGGGGAGGAGCTTCAGCCAATGCTTTACCAGACTCTCTCAATCGCACAAGAGAAGCTTGCCTATCTGTCTCTTCTGTGTGATTCTGAGAGTCTTGTAAAGTAACCTGTGATGTAGCAGCAGCAGCATAACTGGAAAAGGAAGCAGGAAACAGCCAGGGCCTTGCGGGTTGGATTGTAGCTCTCTGAGGGCCTGATCTGGCCCCTGGGCCGCATGGTTGACACCCCTGCTCTAGACACATGAGGACGTAACTGCACATTCCGCAGGTAACACTGCTCAAAAGTTTATAGTAATCTTCAGCTCTATTAAGATTAGTAAATGGTGCTAATCAATTGTCGAACAAGAATTAGAACACAATTAGTAATTTTTCTAATGCAAGAATCAACCTTCTAAAGCCCTGGCATTCTATCATATTTCAAGAAATGTAAGCATTTAGTACAATCAGCTGAGGCTACAGGCAAATTTTTAACTAAAATGTGTAAACTACCTTATCTAGATAAGGTGAAATGTAAGGTTTTCCTAACTGAGAAACAAAACATTAACAGAAGACATCTTATGGTAAACCTATTGTCACTAACTACAAGCCTTTGCACATGCACAAGGAAGTTCCATTAAAATGATATAACAACCATGGCTTCATCCACACATTGTGGAATGTTGTGCTATGTTGCAACATGGTAATCAATATCAATTGGATTGCCTTCCCCATACAGGAAAATCCAATATAGAATGACCGCTCCTGTACAAAAATAGCACAGTATCCCGTGATGTGCAGATACAGTCCATAGTATTTTGTATTGTCTGAACTGCAAACATCTCTTATTCCCATACCAGGTTTCCAACCCAGTATTAAACTAGGGTTTCAAGCAAAAAGAACAAACCTTAGCTTGCAATTCAGATGAACCAAGTTATTACAGTTTGTCATGAAGTGTGAAACAGATTAAATTCTGAGCCATGCATGAGGGGAGTGCAGATCCAAATATACCTCCCCCAAGGGCCATCCATGTAACTACACAGCACAGTTTTTATTTCTCAGGAACGCAGCCTAGGATTGTAAAGAGCAGGCCCTCAAACATAAACCACACAAATGCACAGAACAGTGAATGCATGTTGAGAGTATGTTTCAGATCACATTACTCAAAATCTGATCTCCCAATATCACTGAATACAGCAGAGAAAGAACAGAAATAGGAAAGCCTCTGGAGAAAATGAAAAAGTTTACATTTTTATATATTAATTAGTCTCCTCAGGGTCTCACCATCTGAAATTCAGTGGCTGCTATGCAAGATGGGGACGTTTAAAGTTGTACTTTGCAGAACTACTTCCCAAGGGAGCCCCACCAGGCTCCATTATTAGTGAGGGTAGATAAATAGAAACCATATACCCTTATTACACTATTCTAAGGAAAGACCATCACCCTCAAGAATAGGAGGCAGCATAACTCAATAGTAGAGCATGCAGAAGATTTCAGATTCAATCATGGGTATCTCCATTTAAAAAGATAAGGTGGCAGGTGGTGTGAAAGTCCTCTGTCTGTGACCATGAACAGCCACAGCCAGTCAAAGTAGATAACAACAAGGGGGGGACCCGCGCTACTCGCGGGAGAGGGGGAACTCCACAACTATGAGGAAGAGGAGGAAGCAGCAGGAGGAGGTAAGTTCCCCCCCTATCCCGCCGGTTCTCCTATCTCCTCCACCCCCATCCACCCCCTGGCTCAATTACCCCCCTGCCCTGGAGCGCCCCCCCTCCAGAGGCCAGGTCTACCCACCCCTTCCCACTATATTGGCAGACCTGGCCTCCGGAGTCCAGGTCTACCCACACCTTCCTACAACAGTGGTAGACCTGGCCTCCGAACTCCGCAGGCCAGGTCTACCCACCCATTCCCACTACAGTGGTAGACCTGGCCTCCGAACTCCGCAGGCCAGGTCTACTCACTTCTTCCCACTACAGTGGTAGACCTGGCCTCCGGAGTCCGGAGGCCAGGTCTACCACCATAGTGGGAATGGGTCGGTAGACCTGGCCTCCGACCC